ATATATAAAAATATATTTACACGTTTATCCTTGGGCCACTAGTTTTGCTTGTCAATCTTAATGCCCAGTTTACATCAAGCTTTTGATGTTTTGATGTTTGCCTTCTCTTGAATATAATGGAGCTTACTTTTTGGTGCTTAAAATACATTGATAAATAAACTCAGCAGCAATGTTTCATTTCAGAAATCATGGCCTAAACAAAACAAACAAAAAACACAAATCCCAAATCCTTATTTTTACAGGTTTTGATTTTAACATTTTGAGTTTGTCTCTTTAAATATTCAACCATCCCTTGACACTGGAAATATCTCATTCATAATTTATCAGCCAACCATTCCATTACTCGTAATACAAACCATCCCTAACCATTCATTCATTTGTAGACTATTAATCTTCCCACTCCCTCACCTTTTAATTAAACCAACGACTGAGCACCAGACTCTACTGCTTTCCACACCACAGGAAGCAGAGGGGAGTCACAAAGTTACGCTGTGCCGCTGCAAAGAGATGTGACGAGTCCTGGTTGCACCAGGCACCACGGTTCATAAGTCAGACTAGGACCCGCCGCCGAGACTAAACAGTTTAGACTGCTTTATGATCGCCAAAGCCGCAAGGAAATATGAAAGAAGAGGAGTTATTACCCTACAGATTGGGGGAGGAGGCAGGGTCGGGGCTAGAGGAGTATGTGAGTATATGTGGGGGCGACGAGAGGGCTTTGATCTGCCGACTGATTCTGAAAAGACAAAGACTACGAAGGCCTGTTAAAGCTCTAATGGAGAAGAAAAGAAAGGATAGATATGAGTGTGTGTGTGTTTATTGAGGTTTGTTGGAGGAGGTCCAACAATGGAGAGGGGGGTCTTCTAATCCCACCCAGAACACTACAGTGCAGTTCTAGGGGCCTCGATGATTCATTCAGTTGGCTGGAAACCAAGAGGGAAATATGGTTCTGATCACTACAGAAATAAAGCTGTGTGTGTGAGTGTGTGCAGAAAGGTGCAAATATACAGTACACTCCAGCACACTTGGATCCAGCAGACACAGTGCTGAAACAGAGCTGGAGGCAGTGGCGTGTAGTGTGAGATGGAGTGATTCACCAAGTGGGAAGTTTACATTACGAGGGGCTGCGGTGTTGACAGTGGGCTGATAAAGTGGAGCAGAGGAGACAGTGGGAAGTAAGACAGATGGAACTGGGAAGGAGCCTCAAACATTTTTCTGACCTGAGACATCATTTATAAAAATACTTCATGATAACTCATGCAATTAGGCTTTGTTCCAGCACCTCAAATCTATGTCTCGGTTCGCTATCTTCTTTTTACGACTATTTGTTGGAGTTTTATAGCTTCTAAAATTATCTAAAAATATCAAAAGGAATGTGGAGAAACAGCAGTTTGGACATTATGTCCAAGATGTCTGCGTATCGTGTTGCAGAGATATCAACTTGTGTTTGGGTTATTTTACTTGTTATGTTAGTTTTTTTACATTTTATTTTCATGTGTAATTAAAATGTGTATGCTATTACATTTGAAGAATTATTTTCAAAGTATTATTTTACAATTTCTCTTAACTTTATCTACGGTCAAGTTCAAGAGACACTGAAACTCTTTGCAATGTTTTATGTATCAGGACAAAATAAAAATAATCATTTGCTCCTTATTAGGTCTTAAATTTATTTAAAGACAAAACATTAGATGAACAGCAACATGTGAAAAATGAGACCGTGGCATTAGTAACAGCGTAAAAACTAAGTACAGCCCAGAAATTCCAAACAAGTCATATTTGTTCAGTCTTTTTCAAATTGTACTGTCATGAACATTAGCATAACAACTGAGGCCTGCAGAATCTGAGGTGTAGCTGCAGAGCATTGCACATTCTGAGCTCAGGGTGAACTTCCCTTCCCTGGGAAGACTGGCAACTGTCTAGGGGATAGTGTCCGGTGAATGTTATAAAGGTTTTGCTTGTTGGAGAACCACAAGACTTAAACTTTGTTTATTCTATTAATGTTTGTGTGACCTAGTGATCACAAAACATTAGAATCATGACATAAAAACTGAAAATTTGGTAATCAGAGAAAATCTGTATTCATCTCAAGCTTACATATCCGTATAATGGAATCTGAGGTATAACTTTAAAATATAAAGACATGAATGTTACCTGGTTTGCTTCGGAGTTGGTGCTGTTGTGGGAGGACATAGGTGATGCAGTGAGGGGGTGTTGACGAGCAGAGAACGAAGATGGCGACTGTTGAATGAGAGGAGGCGTGTGGCCAAAGGCGTTGAGACTCCTTTGCTGGGACAACAGCTGCTGGTAGGCAACGGGGTTGATGTGATGGGGGAAGCTGAATGTCGGGCTGAGTGAGGGGGTGAGAGGAAAAAAGATATTTTAAGGATAACATGGCTGGAGACTTTTGTCTACTAACATTAAAGCAACTGGAATCATGGTCGCATTGTCCCTCACTACCAAGTGAAAATAGATAAGCTAGCATTCTCCTTTAAAGCAAGGACTATGTAGTGTAACCTGGCACTGCAGGAAAGTCGATTTTACTCTGAATCTAAAATGAAGTCTAAAATGCCTCATAAAGACCAAGTCAACAACTACAGGATTGTCTTTTTTGTGTGGTTTCAGTCCAAATCCCGGACAAGCCCCCACTTACACTGCACCTTTACTTCCAGTGCAACCTTACACTTTAAGCGATGGTTGTAAAATGCTCACTGATGTATTTTTAATAGTTTTTGGAGAAGAATGTGTCATCTTTTCTTCAAAGCAATCCTGCTTAACTTGAAGCCACCCTGCATGTCTACTGGTTTGTTGTAACAGTATGAATACAATAAATTCGCTCCATTTGTTTTTAATAGCTGTGAATAGGAAATATATACATTTACTAGCCACCCAAAAAAGGAACTTGATTACAATGGATATATCAAGAAAAAGAATGGTGATTTTTAAAAGTGTGACTAATTAATAACTGTGGTAGATCTGAATCAACAGACGCCTGCAGACTACAGTTGCAGGAAAATATAAATACGCCTGTCAACGTTCACACAGTATTCTTGTATGAACCGCAATTATACCTGATTCCGCCGACTGAAAGGTGCCCATAGGAGCTGCTAGCGGCTGAACTGGAGCGGGAATTGTTGATGTAGGCCACCAGGGAGTTGGGTGAGGTACGAATCATGGTCTGCAAGTCAATGCTAGCATCTGACAGTGGCGAGATGGACAGTGCCCTTTTTCTGCTGAGCCGGGGTGTCAACCTTGGGCTGGAAAAACGAGATACTGGGGACAGAGAACAAGAGACACAAATGCAGAAATGTCACCAATTTTGCCTTTTGATATTTGAGTTTTTTGCCACCAATAAATTAACGGCTTGCAAAATGGACAGCAAAATGCAGACTGTGAGGAAATGACAAAACCATCATTCCCCTAATATATACTGGTTCCTAAAGTGACCGGATCCACATACACGCCAATGTTAAAATTTCTGGCTTTGCAGCAAAAATAAATGCTGCAAAACCAGAGCACTGAATACACCCAAGCTAGCTAACGGTATCTAACACTCCACACATATTGTCCCAATATGTTTTTTTGGATTTCACGTGGAATGCCTTTAATGTGCAAACTCCTTGTGTAAAAACTATGCACAGCCTCAATAGAAACCAGCAGTTATCCTGGACCATGTTCGAGAAAATGCTGAGCCGCCGGCATCCTAGTGGAGGTCACAGCCATGCTAAGCTAAACCCTATCTCCTGCATCTCTCTCACACACAGCTCCCCTGTTTAACATTCGCATCCTCTTATGCATAATGAATCGGGGCCTAATCACTCTCAGTAATTACTCTGATAGAAATCTCTTTCAGCCGCTGTACTTTGGGAAGTTAAATAGAGGCAATTTGAACAAATTGATTTCAGAATCCCATTAAAAAAGAACAAGGCTGACTCACAAAGGTAGAGTTCATGGCTTCCTGTTAGACCTGCTTCTTGTGCTGTTTTCTCATTCTTTTCAAAAAGAGCACAAGAAAATGACGGGGTTCACTACTTTCCCATGAACTTAAAGAAGGCAATTTGTTTTTCCACACATACTGATGTGTATTTATTTCTTTTAAAGGCATGCAACTCCCACTCCCACATAAGACGGAGACAAATCACTGGTGGGGACCAACAGGTGCTGGTCCCAGTGTGAGGGGACAGAGAGCTGAGTTGAGTGCGTTCAATTACAACTTACAACAGGCATCATCAGAGGTGTGAGAGGCAGGAAACTCATAATAGCCCCATCACGGCTCACCTAAGCACGTGCATAGTGACCTAACACACACACACATTTCCTGCATGTCAGCTACACTGCTGGCAATATGTTGCCAATCCCGACTCTTTGCTGGTACAACTCACAACCCCTCCAGCCAAATTAATCCAGGCACCGCCATAATCACCGCACCAGACCTGCAGCCATAAAGAAGGGGCTTACTTCCAAAGCTATTATGTTTGGAGGTGGCGAGTCGTAAAGCAGAGGCATATGCACTCAGTTAAAAGGCTCCCAGGAGCTTCAGATGGCAGACAACAGAAGTTGGGGGCCTGGAAAAGGAGAAAAAAGGCTGGTGGAGATGATATAGACATGTATCAAAGAGTTGGCAAAAACAACAAACGCTGCTCAGGAATGCGACTCCGTAGGGTTAATAAATAAACATGTCATCATCTCCCAGCCACACAGAGGAGTGGGAGTGGAGTAAAGGAGGGAGGCGGGAGGATTGAAGCAAAACTGGGATCATGAACGGGGACTTTTTTTTTTTAAAGGTGAACTTGCACCCTTGCCAACAGATTTAATGGGAGATACATGTATTAATATTCCCCTTTATAAAGCAGGAAACAGGCCTCACAGCCTGGTGCCCTGGTAAGCTGGCGCCAGCCTCACCCTTCTGGGCACGGCGCCCACAGTGCCGCCCTCTACCCCCATCTTTAAACCGCCGCCTTCAATCTGTACATCTAATTCAGCTCAAAAGAATTCTCAGTGCCTCCAGCAACAAATTTTCAACAATGTTTGGTCAGCAAGCTCTTGTTTAGCTCAGTGATCTTTCCTAATTTTACCTGGAACAACTTTCATTCACTCTGAAACTCTCACCACTTGGTAAAGGAGCGTTTTATAGGTGGTGGTTATGACTGAAAGGGTGAACAGGTTCCGGCAGGGAGTGAGAAAACAGATGTTGCGCAGGCCGTGGCGACGCAGCAGTGTGTGGTAACGTGTGTGAGTGTGTTTGTGCGTACATATATGCGAGTGTCTGCATGTGCATCGGTGCTTTGTGGGCCTGAATCCCGGGCTGGTTGTAATTGTGGGATCTGGATTTATATAGAGGCATAATTACAGGCACACACTGATACAGTAAAGAAAAGGAATATTAAAAAAGAACCCGAGTGAGGAGTGTGCGTGATTATTTTAAGCATTTGCTTGTGCCAAAATAGTTTTGTGGAAAATGAAAATGGTCTAATTGGAGGGTTGTGCTGATCTCCAGAAGCTGCTAGCACTCGGTGTCGCTGCAGCCGGAGCCAATGGAGGGTCACTTTGCAGCCCTGCAAAGAATAGGTCTGCAGCTTTTCCTCGTGTAACACTGATAACAAAACAGCAGTGTTTGAAAAATATTTGTATTCATGGCCAATATGTGAGTGAAAACAGTTCTCTGAGAATCCACTGGCCTCTTGATAAGTTCATGGAGACAGTTAAGCTAATGCAGAGTTAGCCAACAGCAGAACGAGGAGTGGTGAGGATTGCAGCTGAGTTGGACCCACAAAGACTGCCAAGAAATTCAGCTCGGTGCCAATAAATCCTCAAACACGTAGTAAGAAATGCAAACCTTCTAACATCCTTGAACGTGTGAACAAACTGTCTCTGCTTTCAGAAAAAAGGGTTAGCATCTGTTTTGAGTACAGGACAGCAAAGCTAAGCCAAGAACATGCATACTTCACTGTGTTTTACTGCAACTAACTCTGTGGGTCCAAGATTTTTATTAAGAAATAACATTTATGTTCTCTAAACAATTCTTAAGGGATTTTAGTTTGCATAGTATTCTGCAGATATTCAGCTTTGGACAGTGAGCACCATCATACGAATCTGGAAGTAGAGCAAAGATCTATTCACATACACAAGGGAAAAATATCAAGTAAATATCAATTGATCATTGATCATTGATCTTTTACCCCCCATGTTTCTAGGGAAAATGGGGGAAAATAGATCAATGTAAAAACTTGGATTTTAATGGTTAATGGTAAAATAAAATGCGTTCAGTGCAGAGTGGCTTAACTTGTCAGTATTTAATGTGTATAAACAGTAACATCATACAAAAGTAACACAAATCTGTGAACCAAAGCATGCTAGTTTTTCCAAATAAGATTTTCTAATAATGTTTCTGTGCTTTGACAAGCGCTTTTAAATCAGCAGATAATCTTGAGCTTACCCACCTTGACCTTGAATAGAGATATAACCACACCGCCCTCACCACCATTACACCAAAGCTAAGGTTTTGCCAGTCGGCCTCCTCATCTCCATCCACCCCCCCAGTCCAGCCTGAGACGGGGACTGTTTATTTTTCCTGTTAAATCGCACTAATACGAACACTGTGAATTTTATTAGCGAGAGGGTTCGCACTGTATCCTCTACGAGCCCCCGGTGTCCAGCCCAAAGCCAGCGTTGTGTTTGCCATCGTGTTTATGCACACACTTCCAACCCATGTGCTCATGAACTAACATATAGTTAAGTGTTTGTGTAAGCAGTCTGAGGGGACCCCCACCCCATCAACTTCTTCTCCCCTCACCACCACATCGGTACACAAATCTATGGCCCCCACCCCCCACCCCGCTACATCAACACTGAAATCTTTTTCCTCAGGATGGCAGACATTTACTTTGGCTGCTGCTTTTGTCATGGGAGCTTCAAGGTTTTCCCGCAAACTACTCTGATATTTCTCTGCCCACCCACCCCTCACATACCTGTGCATACATATACAAACAGGCTTCTGAAAGCCTCCCAATGTGATACCATAATGTGACTTTATTTGCATCTATAGCAGTGGCGGTGTACCAATGCTAATAACACTTTAAAGTCTGTTCACTAACTAACTTTACTTTCCTTAGTCTTAATTCTACTGGGATTAAGAGGCTAAGTCCAGCTTGGGCAACTGGTTTTATGGGCCCTCGTTTATCTTTTGTAATTTTAATATATTTATTATTTTGTATATTTATTTATTTATTGGTAAGGCTGGGCCATATTATACCTTTCACAGTGATACCGGTACAATGTTAGGCAATCATAAGAAAATCAAATATTGTGATAGAATATGGGTAAAATGCGCATGCGCAGTGCCTTTGTTTTCATACGGACATGGCGGCGGCGGAGAATGAGAAGGGCAAAAGCAGATTGTTGAATGAAACAGATGAACCAGAATTGGTTTGTAAAAATGGTGCAACTTCAGTGACGTGAAACTGGTTTCCCTAGTAAACCAATGGGGTCGGATTTGACCCCATGGGTCCTCCAGGGTTAAAAGCCTTTAATTTTCTCAAAAATTGACAGCACACCTTATAATCCAGTGTGCCTTATGTATGAATTCTGGTTGCGCTTACTGACCTCGAACCGATTTTATGTGGTACACGGTGCTCGAAAATCTGTGAAAAAAGTGTTTAGTTTGACTTTGGTAATCTATGGAGCCGCACCGCTTGATGGATTGTCGGAGCATTACAGCTACCATAGTCAGGAGCCTCGCAGAGTGATACGTACTGTGCTTCAACATAATATTACCGTATTGTGTGTGTATAAGGACCCCAAAATGACACCTGTTAAGAGACATGCGTATGAAGCGGATTTTAAACTCAAGGCTACCAGTCACGCAGTAGAACTTGGGAACAGAGCAGCTGCGAGAGAATTCAGCAACAGCTGCTTGTTTAAGTGAAAATAAATTGATGGTTTTTTTTGCACTAATAACGTTGTGGAGTTGTAAAGTATTTTGCATCAATTCTGATGCGAGACATCAAATCAGTTCTATCGTTATCCCAAATTTGCAAATATATATCATGATAAATATTTTTGGCCATATTGTCCTGCCCTATTTATTAGTATTTATTTTTTGGTATATTTATTTGTAACTGTCTTTAGGTTTATTGAAAGGTGTTATACACATCTAAGTTGTTATTATTATTGTTTGGTTTTTTTTTTTTTACCATTATCAAACCCTTAAAATACGCAAAGGGCATTTAAAATAATATTCATATACCCAGTATCACTTAAACCTCATTCAAGCTTAGGCCTCATTTACAACTAGATGCATCTGTACAGATCTGTACAGATTAAAAAATGCTAAATGTACTACTATTTTTATTTTAATGTCCTCCTGGTCCCCTTTACTTTCCTACTGTTACACATTACTTCATATTCATATTAGTTTCTTCTTTCCCAGGTCTCAGCCTCACACACACACAGAGTGGAGCACAAAGAGACAGGCGAAGGAAAATAGTTGTTGTGGAAGCTGATAAAACTGTATATTACTATTATGCAATAAAATAGCTTCCTTACAAATATTACACTGAATATAACAAGAAAGAACGAGAAAGAGAGAAGCATCATGATTCCCTGAGTTTTCCAGTTATGTTGACTCACATAGATCATACTGCTGATGGGATGTGACAATTAGCTGCACACATATTTAGGTTGGCAGGAGTAGCTCAGCGTAACAATAAAAAAGTTTTCTGATTTATTCATTTTTTTTCCTTTTTGGCTTATGAGCTGGTGTAAAAATCTACTGAAAGTAGGTTAGTCGTGGGATTAGCTTTTCTTTAACTGTAAACCAGCCGAGCTATTTTAATTAAAGAAACTTGCTAAAGAAACAATGCTAAATTAAACAAGCTGCCAAAAATGCACATTTTTCCTGAATGTGCATTTGGACTTGAATGTACTTTTGTTTTTTCAGCCCAGTCGATTTCTCACCAGATAACGACAGTGATTGATGCGTGAAAAACATACCACAAGCACCGACACTAACTTGCAGAAGCAGTTAAGCGTTGCAGCGAGGCCTTCACGGCCACTGCTAACACTGTTTGCTTAGGAGACCTGTCCATCACCCTGTCATATGGCAGTCCTGAGGGAAGGGAGAGTCTTAACAGTGGAAAAAAAGCAATCATTTTGCTGGTTAGGTTTGTGTTTTTAACAGTCTGTGCCACTTCAGTCAGCGCCACAGCAGTGTCTTTCAAATGCTGTCATCCTCATCGGGGAGAAATTGGTGTGTTTAAGTTTCTCGTCTGAGGTATACCCAACAGCAAATCCTAAAAATTCTTAAGTGGACCAGCAAGACCTGCAGTCCTGCCAGAAATCCCGTGTGCTCACAACTTTTCCAGCAGCACCCTTCTCACAGCAGCACCCAGTGTTTGGGGCTCTACTCTGAGCCTTGCTGTTCACTCATCCAGAGGGAAAACATGGGCTGGACGAGCCATACTATAGGGTCACTGAGTGCTCCCAGTTCTTGCGGTGGGTCTGCTGAATATTAGTGCATAAATTGATTTTTAATATGGATTTTATCTGTGCTGCCTTCCAAAACTAACGGCAGGGGTGAAGCACATATTTGCCACGTCCTCCTCCTCCTCCTTCTCCCATGTTCTAGCAGTAAATAAGGCTATTGATTCAGGCTGAGGCTGCCCGCAATGACCATTAGTTGGCCGCCTCGGTCAATGTGGTCCCTGTGCCTCGAGACTGGCAGAGTGACCCAAACCTGACCACATCACTCCGAGGATGGTAGAACACTAAATAAAAGCTGGTAGCTAGTGTGGACGTTGCAGTGAAGCAGGCGGTGGGGGTGTTGGGGTGGGGGTTGTGGCTACACGAGTAAACAACCACCCAAACAAGTGTGGGCATGGCAGCAAAGCGGCGGTCACTGAGGTGGTGGGAGAAGGAAGAGGAAGGAGGAGGAGGGCGGGAGAAAGCGGTGGTCTACAGTTTCTGAAACCCCGCCTGAGCCTGCAGCTCAGCTCAGCTCTGTTTGACTAAGTGATTGAGGTAATTTAAAAGATTAATGTTCAAGCCATCCTGTACCTGATTTTCTCCTCTCTGCTGAGTTTTCCTACCTGTGTGTGAGGACGGCAGCTTTAGTGTCTTCTGGAAGCGTGACAGTGCGGCAGGTTTTTTTCTTTTTTTCCGGGTGGGTGGTTGGATGGGATGAAAGGAAGAATGAGGGCTCCTGAAGGGGGTCAGTGCCAAGCAGGGTGTTTGATTATCAGGCATCGAAAAGGCCGACTTTCCTCTCTGTGAGCTTTCTCTTTCTCATTCATGAGGGCTGAAGGTTTCTTGGAAGCGTTTCCTTGCTGAAGTCAAACGTCTGTTCTGGTGCTTGACTGTCACTTTGATAGAGGGCCGAGGTTCTGGCTGGCATCAAAGAACAGGCTGGCCTCTGTGAGTTTGTGTGCAAACACGTGTACGAGTTTGTGAGCATTAGCCTGGCGGTTAAATTTCTGCCTGCCACTGAGTGTGAGTGTGTGTGTCAGCAATACCCTCCCTGCTATTACATAGCAGTATATGCAGGATTGAGCCCTGCCTGATACAGAGCAGAGATGAAGGTATACCTCCATGCTGCCTCTTTATTGGCTACCCCGGACGTTTCTCTTTTTTGTCGGCTGTTACTCATAACGACATCACAAACACACCTGAAACACAATCAGAATTAGAGACTTTAAGGTAATGTGGTTTTATGAGATCCTGGCCTCTGGGCTTTTTAGTGTTTACACACCCTCAACTAGCCTCGGCCCCCATACGTGTAAGTCTAAAAACCACTAGCTTTGATGTTGAAAGCACTGCCATGAAAAAGCCTCAAGAGGAAGAACAAGAGGACGGTATCAACATGCCTGGTGCTGAGAACAAAGGACAACGTGGCTGTTAAATTTGGCTCTTGTGGCGATAAAAGACAAGCTTGGGTTTCCGTATCAAGATGGTTGATAATATTTTGACATATCATGCTGGAAGCACCGTGAGCTTCCACAGGTTCTGGTTTTGATTTGGTTGGTAAAAGTCTGCAGGCTGATTTTCAGCTGAACCAAACAGAACGATCTATCTTCTCCAGTGACTGATTTTCATGTCAGAATCTCCCGGTGAACCCAAACATTCTGTTAGATAAAATCTGGACAATAATTTGACGAATTGCTGTTGAAATTTGACCTCACAGTGGGAATCGTGTTTTTTTTCTTCTCTCCATGCTACCCCCATGGTGTCACTTTCCAATGTGAGGCTCACACGAAGCTCCAAAAGTCCAGTCCTGAACATGCTTACTTTTGTCTTTGCCTTTTTCCATTAATGTCTGATTAGGTCAACACACTAAATTAAGCAGTTTAGGCACTAAAATCACTTAGTTACAATTAGAAGAAACCCTGGTTTGATATAAAATACACCTTTATGTAAAATTTGTTAAAAGTCTAGTACCTCATCATGTCCATTTATGACAGCCCTGGATGCTAGACAATGCCCTTAAAGTGGTACATATATG